ATCTTAAAGCTCATCATGTGGGGCACCTGGATGGCTCAGTCGGTTTAGTGTCCAACTCTTGATTTCTGCTCAGGTCTTGATCTCACCGTCATGAGTTCAAGCCCCATGCTGGGCTCCATGCTGGGCGTGGAACCTATTTAAAAAAAAAAAAGTTTAAAAAAAAGAAAAAAATAAAAGGTCATCATCAAACTCAAGGCCATCTAGATTTTCTCTTACATTATCTTTCTAGAAATTTTATAGTTTTATGTTTAGGTCTGTGATCTATTTTGAGTCAATTTTTGTGAAAAGTGTAAGTTGTATGTCTAGATTCCGGGTGCAAACTTTATGCTAGGAATGTCCAATTGTTCCAGCATATTTGTTGAAAATTACCTTTTCTGCATTGAAGTGCCTTTGCTCCTTTGTCAAAGATCAGTTGAATACATTTGTGTGGGTCAGTTTTGGGCTCTCTATTCTGTTCTGTTGGTCTGTTTGTCTTTTCTTTCACCAATACCATGTTGTCTTGATTATTGTAGCTTTATAGTAAGTCTTTAGGTCAGGTTGTGTCAGTCCTCCAATTTTGTTGTTCTTCACTATTGTGTTAGCTATTCTAGGCCTTTTGCCTGTCCATATAAACTTGAGAGTTAGTTCATCAATATCCACAAAGTACTTACTGGGCTTATGATTGCATTGAATCTATAGATCAAGGTGGGAAGAATCAACATCTTAACAATATTGATTCTTCTTATCAGAGAAGATAAGAGACAGAATATCTCTTCATTTATTTAGATCTTTGATTTCATTCATCAGAGTTTTGTAACTTTCTTCATATAGATTCTGTGCCTATTTTGTTAGATTTAAACCTAAGTATTTTTTTCTTTGTTGGGGAGAGGGGGCACTAATGTAAATGGTATTGGGTTTTTAACTTGAAATTCCAATTGTTTATTGCTGTTATATTAGAAAGCAATTGATGTTTATATATTAACCTTGTGTCCTGTAGCCTGTTGTAATCACTTACTAGTTCTAGGGTTTAAATATTTTTTGGTCAAGTCTTTGGAAGTTTTCTATATAAATCATGTGTCTGAGAACAAAGACAGTTTCATTTTTCCTTCTTTTTTTTTTTTAAAGATTTTATTTATTTATTTGAGAGAGAGAGAATGAGAGAGAGCACATGAGAGGGGGGAGGGCCAGAGGGAGAAGCAGACTCCCTGCCGAGCAGGGAGCCCGATGCGGGACTTGATCCAGGGACTCCAGGATCATGACCTGAGCCGAAGGCATTCGCCCAACCAACTGAGCCACCCAGGCGCCCTCATTTTTCCTTCTTAACCTGTGTATATTTTATTTCCTTTTCTTGTCCTATTTTACTAGCTAGGACTTCCATTACGATATTGAATAGGCTTGGTTAGAGGCGATATCCTTGCTTTGTTCCTGTCCTTAGTTTCTCACCATTAAGTATGATGTTTGCTGTAGGTTTTTTGTAGACGTTCTTTTTCAAGTTGAGAAAGTTCCCCTTATTCCTGGTTTGCTGAGAGTGTTTGACATGAATGGGTGTTGGATTTTGCCATTGGTTTTTCCATGTAATTGATATGCTCACATAATTTTTCTTCTGTTGTCTGTTGATGTCTTGGATTATATTAATTGACTTTTGAATGACGAACCAGTCTTGAATACCTGGAATAAGTCTCATTCAGTTGTAGTGTATAATTATTTTTATACATTGTTGAATTCAATTTGCTAATATTTTGTCGAGGATTTTTGCATTCAGTGTAATGAGATATATTGGTCTGTAGTTTTCCTTTTTTGTAATGCCTTTATCTGATTTTGATATTAGTGTATTACTGGGCTCATAGAATGAGTTAGGATGTGTTCCCTCTGCTTCTAGTTGCTAGATGAAATTGTAAAAAATTGGTATCATAATTAACTTTAATGGTAGAATTCACCATTGAAACCATCTGGGCCTGGTGCTTTCTTTTTTTTGAAGGTTACTAATTATTGATTCAGTTTCTTTAATAGATGCAGGCCTATTCAAATTATCTTATTTTTCTTGTGGGAATCTCGGTAATTTGTGTCTTTTAAGGAATTGGTCCATTTTATTTAAGTTATCAAATATGTGGGTATAATGTGCTCATAATATTCCTTTATTATTCTTTTGTTCATAGTATCAGTAGTGATCCCTCTTCCATTTATGATATTAGTAATTTATATCTTCTCTCTTTTTTCCTTAATTTACCTAGAAGCTTATCAATTTTAGTAATCATTTCAAAGCACCAGTTTTTGGTTTCATTGATTTTCGCCATTGATTTCAACTTCATTGATTTCTGCTCTAATTTTTGTTATTTCTTTTCTTCTGCTTGTTTTAAGCTTAAATTGCTCTTCTTCCTCTAGCTTCTGAAGGCGGAAGCTTATTAATTAAGATAGTTGACTTTATATCTTTCCTCTTTTCTAAAATATGTATTCAATGCTATACATTCCCCTCTAACCATTTTTGTCACACCCACAAATTTTCATGTGTTATTTTCATTCTAATTTCATTTAGTTCAAAATATATTTTAAAATTTCTCTTGAAACTTCTTCTTTGACCCTAAGAAATTTGGAATTTTTCCAGCCATCCTGCTGCTTTTTGATATCTGGTTTAACTCTGTTGTGGTCTGAGAACATATTCTGCCTGATTTCTATTCTTTAAAAATGTTAAAGATTCTGTGAGCTAGAATGCAATTTATCTTGGTGAATGTTCCATGTGAGTTTGGGAAGAATGTATATTCTGCTGTTGGATAAGTATCCTATTGATTTATTTGATCCAGTTGATTGGTGGTGATGTTCCTTTCAGCTGTTTTCTTACTGCCTTTCTGCCTGCTGTTCTGTTAGTTAATGAAAGATGAGTCTAAAATCTCCAACTATAATTGTGGATTTGTCTGTTTCTCCTTCAAGTTCTTTCAGGTTTTCCTTATGTATTTTGACCTTTTTTTTCTTAAGATTTATTTATTTATTTGAGAGAGAGAGAGAACATGAGAGAGAGAGCGCAAGCAAAGTGGAGGGAAAGGGAGGGGCAGAGGGAGAGGGAGAAGCAGATGCGCCGCAGAGCAGGGAGCCCGATATGGGGTTCGATCCCAGGACCCTGGGGTCATGACCTGAGCCGAAGGCACATGCTTAACTGACTGAACCACCCAGGTGCCCCAGGTCTCTGTCTTTTAATTGATGTGTTTAGACCATTCATTTAAAGCAATTATGTATATAGTTGGATTAGTATGTACCATTCTATTTGCTGTACTTGTTCTTTGCTTCTTTATCTCCCCCCCTTTTTTATTGTAAAATATGTTTATTGATGATAAAACATATAATTTACTCCTGATACTTGATGTTACAAACTTTAGGGTCTTTGAGATATGCAGGATCCTTGTATGTACCTGGCATAAACCTCATTATCTGAGCTCTCTTAATTGCTTTTGTGATTTCTTTTTGTTTTTTCTCACAAAGACTTGTTATGTGCCTTCCATAAATGCATCCAGTAAATGCAGAAATAAACTGGGACAAAACCCATACATTCTTATAATCTACATGTCTTCTACACAAGATACGTTTTTTAAGAGGCTCCTTGTAAGGAGTTCCCATCAGAACAGGCAGGTCCTCATTGCTGGCTACCTGTTTTTTTTGAGTTTCCCTCTTTCTTAAACAGAATTGGTGCCTTGCAGCTCTCTCAGTTTTCATCTACTGTTATCACCCTGGAGCCCTGTTGCTGTGGTGATAAAGGGTTGCAGAGGGGAAGCAGTCAGTCTTACCATTAAATCTCATTCTTGAAGTCCCCTGAGCCTGTGGCTGAGGCTGTGACCTTCAGAAGCTTTTATAGGTGAGACCGGAAGGCTAGAGGGGGCTAGAGTTGGCTAATCATCCTTTACCCAGGTCGGAGAAGGCTCTGGCAAAGTCTTTTCTCTTGAGCATCCTTTGTTGTGATTAATGCACTGGGTATATTTTTAGTTACTTTTCCTCTCCCCCGAAAAGAGGAGGGGATTTTTCTTGAATCTTCACTGTGAGAACCAGTGTGGGTTTCCTGGCAGTAAAACCTATGAAAGTTTGGTAACCCCCATAAGACTGGGCCCCCAGGAGTTTCTTCCTGTCAAGCTAGTCCATGCTCATCCTTTAGCAATTTGTAAGAGTTACTGCTTAAGTGCTTCTACTGGTTTATGGCTCTGGCATCTGCTTAAGGTGACATTATCTTGGCTGTGATTCTCTCAATCTGCCTGTCTCTCTAGTTTTTGGGGTGCTGGTTTGCCCTGTCACCTTAATTCTCTCATGGATCTAAGAAAACTTGTTGATTTATAGTTTGTTCAGCTCAGCTTTTTTCTTGTTATGACTTCCAGGGTCTTTACATGTCAGAAGGGAAACCAGAAGTCAACGATGGCTTTTAAAAAAGGGAGTTTATTGTCTTTTACACAAATGTAGCCAACCCAAGGCAGCTATGGCAGTTCTGTGACCATAGGGGACCTAGGATCCTTTTATCTTATCACTTTGCCATTCTCAACCTGTAGCTGCCATCTTATGTTCAGAAGTGGCTTCTCCATCTCTAGCCATCAAGTGCTATTCCAGCCATTCTGCAGGAAAGAGGAAGGGGGAGAGGAGAGTAGGGCACAGTCGTTTTCTTCAAGACACCCTTGTTATTTAAGGATACTTCCTGGATGTTGCTCTCATCATTTCTGATTACATCTAAACGACGAGACCCTAAGTTCACATGGCTACATGGAGGTAGAGAGATGTAGCTTTAACTTGGATATGTCACTGAAGAATGGAAATTGGCCATTAGTAGTCTCTACTCCACACTCTACTCCACAACAGTGTTCCAAGGCTTCCCTCAGATTCTCAGAGTGTCTATGTATGATACAGAGTAGCTTAAGAAACTCTGCTCTATAAAATTGCTGTGAGAGTAGGGGGCCACAGCATATCAGCTAACACTGAAACCAACATACGTAGAATATTTAGCCTAAGCAGAATCCCATTCAGTATGCTCACCTTTCCTGAAGGCTTGCATTGGGCTGGTAATAAATTAGTCCCTACCTACCCTCGAAGCATGACTTCTCTCTCTTGGCAGCTTACCCAGTCAGCAGCTTGTTTCCGGAGCAAGCCATGATGAAAGAAAATGAAGAACAACTTATTTTGTGTATGGCAAGTGGGTTCTACCCCACAAACATTACTGTAACATGGAAAAAGTGGACCCAGAAGGATCCCCAGTATGTGGAGTTTTCTGAGGGCGTCTTCACTAATTGTACCACCAAAAATGAGGATGGCATGTTTAATGTCACTAGCTTCTTGATGCTAAAGCCCTCTCTGGAAGACAATATGACCATCTACCAGTGTGTGGTATGGCACAAATCCTTGCCTACCTCCCAGAGGCTCAACTTCACCTTGACTATGATAGGTAAGCAGCCTCCTGAACATTTCCCCTGCTCTTCACCTTGAGGTTGGGTAATGTAAAACTTTGGTTTCCAGGCAGTCTCGGGGAAGACAGGGGAAGTGGGGAAGATAGAAAGCTTGGTCTGGCATAGCTCAGCCCCAGAGTCAGCAGTCCAGACTAGGTATCTAAGCCAGGGCAGGTGGTCTAGTTGGTGGAGAGTGGTGACAATAGTCCTCAGATGGAAATAGGGCTACTTTTGGCAGTTTAAGTGATCTGGGTGGTCTATATGGCTTGAAGTGTGAAGCTTGCTAGCTACAAGGAGAGAAGGGACAGGATCCTATCCATGTCCTCTGAAGATAAGAGTCTGTCAGGGACCAGCGACCCAGCCCTGCCAGTAACTCTTCTGCTCAGGCCCCAGGTCCACTGCAAACTGTTGGCTTTTAGAGGCTGAATCCATTGTTCTATCTTATGGGTTGTACCCAAGATGGGGACGCCATAGTAGGGTGATTTTGCAGATGCCCAGGACTTTCCCCAGGGACATGGGATGCTTAGCTCAAGATCTACAGGTCACTACAGAATCCCTCCTGCTGGTAAGATGAGGTTCATGGAGCTCATATTCTGGGCTCCCGTGCTCATGGCTGTGGTCCTGGATGGGTATGACCCTGCTAGTCTAATGCACCTGCCTGGAGCTAAGAGTGGTTTAAAAAGGCAGGGTCTGACCACAGGTCCTGGGGGATGGGGTCTGGGTATCCAGGATGGTCCTGGAAGGAGAGAAGAATTGTTCTTGGAAGTAAGGGCTAGGAATGTGTGTGGGTGGTGTGAGAAGAGATGGGTACAGAGTATGTGTGGGGTGTGGGGAGTATGAAATTGAAATATGCTGTGTGTGTATAGTATGAGGGATTTGTCTGGGTTATATGTATGTTTTAGTCCATTCAGGCTGCTATAACAATTTGCCACAGATTGGGTGGCTTAAAAACAACAGAACTTTATCTTTCACAGTTCCGGAGGCTGAACGTTTGTGATCATTGCGCCAGCATGGTTGGGTGAGGACCCTCTTCTGGGTTGCAGACTTCTTATTGTATCCTCACATGGTGGAAGGGATGAGGGATCGCTCTAGGGCCTCTGTTATAAGGGCACTAAAATCCATTCACGAGGGCCTCCACCCTCCTGACTTAATCACCTCTCCCAACCCTACCTCCTTATACCATCACAGTGGGCACTAGGATTTCAGTATATGAATTTTGAGGGGCACACATGTTCACTCTATAGCAGTAAGATGGTGTAGTAGTTTGGAAGCTTTACACGTTGCATGGCTTGTGTGTGTGGTATGTGGTGTTTGATATTGTGGTGTATTCTGGTAAGTGCTAAACACGCTGTTTGATGGGTGAGGTGTATGTGATAGGAATGGAGGGTGCCAAGATGGTCACAGGGACAGGGAAAATGACATACAACCACAGATCCTAGCAGTGGTTGTATGGTCTCTGGCTCTGGCCAGGAGGTTTCTTCTTAATGTTCTTTTCTTCTTTCTCTCTGCAGGATCTCAGAAGTCAGCTTATACTCTGAAGTACGTTTTTCTCTGTGCTGGAATAATCTTAGTAATTGTACTGATTTTATCTATTTTTTGGAAACAGGTAAGTGGCTCCAAAGCAAAGTTTAGCCCTGTGTTTTGGAGTTGGTTTTGGGAGTTCAGGGATTACTGCCAGTGGATGCTGTTAAGGAGTTCTTAGGATTGATATGGGGGTATTCTAAGTGTGGTGTGTGTTTGTGGTGGGTGGCTTTTTCTTTTTTAAAGATTTTTTTAATTTATTTGACACAGAGAGATAGAGATAGAAAGAGAGAGAACACAAGCAGGGGGAGTGGAAAGGAAGAAGCAGACTCCTCGCTGAGCAAGGAGCCCAATGCAGGGCTTGATCCCAGGACACTGGGATCATGACCGGAGCTGAAGGCAGACACCTAACCAACTGAGCCACCCAGGCGTCCTGGTGTGTGTGTGTGGCTTTTTCTGATGTTCCATTGATGAACTCTCTTTTCTGATCTCCATGTGGTGGTTTATGACTCTGGGGAGATACAGCATAAAGCCCCTCTGCCTCTTCATAATATACCAGTTTCACTGTATCAAACCTGACCTTTTTGATTCAGACCAGGTTTTGAACCATATATGGGCTGCACTGTTGTTCTCACACATAGAAACAGTGCCTCAGAGGTAAGAATTCCTTTTCCCAGGTGCTCATATTTTGTTAATAGCTCAATGGGGTAACCTATCACCAGATTTCATTTGTTTAACCAGGGATTTCTAACCCTCCCTAAGTGTTTCCAAACTAAAACATGTTTTCTAACATGTTTATCCCTGATTATGCCCCAAATAGCAAATAAAACAACTCAAACTGTAGAGGCCCAAGAGACCAGTGTAAACATGTTGGTTAAAATGGTTCTACATAATAAAATTGCCCTCAGTTATTTATGGACCTGCCAAGGCAGAATTTGTGCAATAGCTAATACATCTCATTGTAAATGCCTTAGGAAAAGTACAATAATCGGTTAATTAAGAAAAAAAGCTATTTGTTCATCTAAAATTTGCTAGCTGATTCATGGGATTTATTCTTCTGATGGGACCTAGGCCAGTGAGACAATTAGATATAACGTGGTTTTCAAATGTTTCTTGTGATACTTGTGAATGTTCTATTTCTTGCCTTCCTCTGGCTTTTGATAATCTAGGTGCTATCATGATAACCTCACATTTGCCAGTGATATTTATTGAAAAAGAGACTTTAGCCTGGATTCTGTGGTGACCAGTTTGCAGTTTTGGCTCCAAGCCTTTACCCTTCCTCACATCCATGTACTTTGCCATGTAATTTTGTAGTGTCCTCTAATGATGGGCTGCCCCTTAACATTGGGCTCAACCTTGTGACTTGCTTAGGTCAGTAGAATGAGGCCAAAGTGAAAGAGTGCTAGTTCTAAATCTAGGCCTCAAGAGACCTTGTGTATTTCCATTTGCTTTCTTTGGTGCTTCTGATATTAGTAAGAGGAGGATGCATCCCAGTGAGTCTGTTGAGGGCCAAGTGACATGGAAATTAGAGCTAGTTGTGCTAGTAGAGGCCAGTCTAGCTCAGATGATGGCCCACAACTCCCACTCAACAGAGCCAACTCTCAAATGCATGAGAAATACTTTTTTTTTTTCCAAAGCCACTGTATTTTACGCTCGATTTTACACAGCAACAGCTAACCGATACAACTCCTCAAGAAGTTGAGTTTTGACTAGCAAGTGTGGTTGCTATGGGGATGTGCTGCTGAGACCCCTTAGAGAGAGCCTGCTATGGAGCGTACTTAGCCAACATGCTCCAGCTGTGGCCTATCAGGGACCTGCTGCAGTATTCAAGCCTGTGCCATGCTTTCCCTGGGCAGCCCCAGAAAAGAGCTGAGAAATGCAGGAGGCTTTGTAGCTCCCCGGAGACTTTCTCAGACTTGCACGGTAGTCTGGGGCTCTTGCTACCCAGTCCTCTCTTCTTCCTCCCTTTACAGATACTACACCTGCACCACGGTCTAAAGGCTTTGCCTACATACTCATGTGCCTTCTCTCCTTTATCATTTACAGGTACTACATCAAACAAATACCTTATTCTCCATCTTGAAAGCTTATTCTCGGAACACCCAAATTGACACGAGAGAGTAAACAACTATAATGAGGTGCTTTCATTATGATGCATTCATGGCTTATTCTGATGGGGGAACCACTAGAAGAACATTGGAAGTTCTTACACAGAAACAGCAGAAACACCAAGGTTTCTCAGTGAATGCATCTGTAACTGAAATTACTTTTCCTGGTGGCTTAGATAGCTTGCTCAAGAGCAGACTGTTCAAGGTGCCTTCCTTGATAGCCTCCTGCCAATCAGCTTATCCAAGAAAAAGAGAGCAACACTTTCCAAAGAAGACATACTACAGATGGCCAAAAGACACATGAAAAAGGTGCTCGACATCACTCATCATCAGGGAAATCAAAACCACGAGATATTACCTCATACCTGTCAGAATGGCTAGTATCAGAAAGACAGGAAGCAACAGGTGTTGGCAAGGATGTGGGGAAAAGGGAACCCTAGTGCACTATATTGATGGGAATGTAAATTGCTAGTAGCCACTATGGAAAACAGAATGGAAGTTCCTCAAAAAATTAAAAATAGAATACCATGTGATCCAGTAATTTGACTTCTGGGTATTTACCTGAAGAAAACGAAAACACTAACTCTAAAAGATATAGATACCCCTATGTTCACTGAAGTGTTATTTACAATAACCAAGATATGGAAACAAGTGTCCATTGATGGATGGATAAAGAAAATGTGAGACTGTGTGATAAAGAAAATATATAATGAAATATATGTATATATATATAATGGAATATAATGGAATTTTATTCATCCATTAAAAAAAGAATGAAACCTTGTCATTTGCACCAACACAGAAGGACCTTGAGGGTATAATGTTAAATGAAATAAGTCAGACAGAGTAAGAAAATACCATATGATCTCACATGTGAAATCTAAAAACAAAAACAAAAACCCAAGCTCATAGATAACAGAGAGCGCAATGGTGGGTGCCAGGGGTGGAGTGGGGTGGATGAAATGGGTGAAGGTGGTCAAAAGGTACAATCTTCTGGTTATAAAATAAATTATGGGGATGTAATATACACCATGGTGCCTATAGTTAATAGTACTGTAATGTGTATTTGAAAGTTACTAAGAGTAAATCTTAAAACAGTTTAGAAAAACTTTTAAGAAAAGAATATTTTTATAACTATGTATAGTGACAGATGTTAACTAGACTTATTTTGGTGATATTTTGCAATATATACAACTACTGGATCATGTTGTACACCTGAAACTGATGTACTGTATGTCAATTATACTCCTCCCCCAAAAGTAACACTGTTTTTAGACTGTGGCCTGTTTCCATTTCAAATTCTACTTCTTAGTTCAATGAGATCCACCTATACATGCTAATATAAGAATAAAAGTATGCAGCTGCACTTTTAACTTAATATCTCTGAGTTATTCTTTGAGAGGAGATAAGTGATTTGTCTAGGGTCTCATGGCTAGTAAAGAGTAGAGCTTGGATTTTTAATCAATATGCCATACTACCAGGAAAGATCCAGGGTGGGCTTGGGGTGTGAAGGATGAGCTGGATCATTAGATCTAGAGGAGAGGCTCACTCTATACTGTTCTTGTCTGTTCTTAGGGGAGGACCTGTTGGTGTGTTTGACCATTGCCTCATTTTCTGTAACTGAACCAAGGTGGCTGATGCTATTCTTAAGTGGACCTGTGTGCAGGCACCTCATTCAGGACAGGCTGACAGGGCTGTGGGGAGTGTCATGCCAGGTGTTAGTCATGGGTAAGATACAGTGTGGTTCTGAATGTAGTTACCAAGGGATGTGCAGTTGTATTTCAGGATCTTTGTGGGGCAGAGAAGCCCTGTTCACATCTCTACTGAAAGTTGAAGTAATGACCCTGAAAACAGTTTTTAGGACACTCAGCGGCGAGGGGGCGCTCAGTGAGCTCATTCATGGGCATAACTAACATGGAAGACTCTTGGCTTAAAGAGAGGACTCCCCATAGCCGAGCTCCCACCTGAGGGTGGTTTAGAGTGGTCTCTAGTGGCAGCACTGGGAATTGCAGCATCAGTTAAGGTGGTGCCTATTTCAAGAATATATCATATTAGAGGAGACAAAGAATCTCATAAAGTGGAGATCTGGAAGGAAGAACAGGGCAACAGTTAGAACTGTGAAACAAATGAAGTAGTTCAAAGCTGCCTACAGTCATTGAAAGAGAGTGATTCAAAAAGAATGACACCCCTTGAACAGGAAGTAAGGCAGTCGAGATTTTAAAAGAAATTATAATAATTTTGTAGAGATTATAATAGAGTAATAAAGTAATATAAGGGAAAAATAAAATTAGGTGGGAAAATGACAAATGGGATCTTTTTATAGGAAGGTAAAACATTAGATGTAAAATGTGGGGGATTATAGAATGGACATTATTGATTGGAAAGGAATCTATGATGTGGAAAAAAGAAAGTGCATTAAGGAGTTAACTAAGCTCAGAAATGAGTATGCTGGTCAGACCTTCAGAGACCAAAAGGGGCACAAAAGAGGTAGAACTATAGGATGATTTTCATTCTACTTCCAAGATGGATGGGAGATCAAGGACACAGTAGGAATGTGACAACCAGTGAAAGTCTCAGTCAGAACTGTACTGCATTTACTTCTCTCGGGAGTAACTTCTCTGCCCCAACAATGATGGCATCATGAGAAAAACTGGAATTGATCAAATGAAGTAAAGAATAGACAGAGGCAGGCCTACCTGGTCTGTTTATTTCACCTTGAGTGCCGGCGGTCTGGGGAGGAGGAGTTTGGGACATACTGTGCCGCAAAAAAGGATAGTTTCATGAAGTAGAGGCATGTGACTCACGAGAGCTGAAGAGGGCCGTTGTTTCTCCCAGTGAAGGAAATAAATTGCATAGTTGCCTAGTACTTTGAATCACCTGTTCCGCTCATTGGCATCAGTGCCCAGAAGGACACAAGGTCAAGGGAAAGGCAGAAGTCTGCACTCCTTGTACGCAAGCTGGCCAGTCTAGGTAGCCTACCTTTCATATCAATCCAGAGTGGGGCCTTCCCAGAGTGGAAATAGGGGAGGGTGTAGGTAGCACCTTCTTCCCTTTCCGTGAAGGTATATACAATGCCCCAGGCAGGTGGACATGGCAGAGAGGATGCCAGTAATCTTGATTCTAGTGCAACAAATCCACTCTCTAGAACCCAATTCTTTTTAGATTTTTTTTTTTTTTTAAATTCATTCGAGACACAGAGATAGAACATGAGGAGGGGGAGAAGCAGAGGGAGGGGGAGAAGCAGGCTCCCTGCTGAGCAGGGAGCCCGATGCGGGGCTCGATCCCAGGACCCTGGGATCATGACCTGAGCTGAAGGCAGATGCTTAACCATCTGAGCCACCCAAGCGCCCCTCTAGAACCCAATTCTGACTTTAACCCCATCACTCTGCCTTTTCCCAGCTCCTTTCAAGCTGGAACAGATCTGTTGTGCTTTAGACCTGCCCTGATCTCGGGTCAACGTAACTTTGACATGCAGAATTTGTGTCTTCATACAACATAGGGTGTCTGATACCTGAAACTGGGGAGACCTCAGAGGTGAGCCCAGAGAGCTATGGGGAGCCAGGGGCTACTCGACTCCTCACCACAAGCTCCCTAGGGAAGGATGTTGGGGAGGATCTCAAGTTTAGGACAGAGCTGGAAGGATGCCACCTGGCCAGAGAAAGTGGGTCTTATACAAGGTGGGTGTGTTCTCTCCAGCAGAAAGGCCAGAGGGCCACCTTCAGGGGTAACATGTGGGCCTTGCAGTAACTGGCTGGAGATGCCAAATTCATAGGCATCAGACCTGGGCAGCTTTCCAGTATGGCTAGTGGGCTAGTTTTTCCAGACTAGAAATTCAGTTTCACTAGAAATTCAGAAAGATGGTGGCTTGGCTTCCCTTCCCTGTTGAGTTTAGCAGCTCCCTCCATGCCTGGAAATTTCTAGCTCCTCCCTGACCTAAGCCTTAAGGCTAGGAGGTCTCTTAGTGGAAAGACTGGGACAAGTGGTCCTGATTTTCTGATCAAGTAGGTCTTCTCTGTGGCCAGCAGGTGGCGCTGAACCCTCAGTTCTGTCGGTTCACTGTCCCTAGCCATTTAAGGTGGAGGGGGAGGAGGAAGGTTACTTTGGATGGGGTTCCAAGAATGGTGCTGCTGAGCAGCTTCTCATTAATGAGTCTGGCCCCTCTCCTGGTCTTAAGGACAGCCAAGCTGAGTCCCAGGAGCCAGGCACTGTCCCCAGAACTCTGGGCTGACTCTGAGTAGCTTCTCATCCCTCTTCTTCTAAACCACAAACTGGTCAATGTTGGGGGGCTGTGTGGGTGCAGGAAGGGGCAGCTTAGAGCTTGAACCAGCAACACCAGCTTCCTGGCTCTTCAAACCTACCTCTGGAGTAGCCCAGGACAAACTCTCACTGATCCAGCTGAAGCCCACTGCCGGCCTCCAACAGCAACAGTGATGCTGGCTTGGTGTCCTATATGCTATTCATCATTCATTCATTCACTTAGCACTTAGTGCCAGACACAATGCTGAATCAGATACAGTCCCCAAACTCAAGGAACCACAGACTTGGGGATGTCACAATCTTGTTCGTGAAAGGAAGAGTCAATTGATGTGGTAAATTTCATTGTCTAATTTAAAAAAATTGCCATGCCCCCCCCAACTTCCAGCAACCACCACCCTGACCAGTCAGCAGCCGTCAACATCGAGACAAGACCCTCCAGCAAAAAGATTACGACTCACTGAAAGCTCAGATGATGATTAGCACTTTTTAGCAATAAAATATTTTTTAATTAAGGCATGTACATTGTTTTTTTAGACATAATGCTATTGCACACTTAACAGACTACAGTATAGTGTAAACATAACTTTTATGTGCGGTAGGAAACCAAAAAAAAAATTCATTTGACTCTCTTTATCGCGATATTTGTTTTGTTGTGGTGGTCTGGAACCAAACCTGCAATATCTCTGTACACTAATGCGTATGATGGCCCCACCTCTCCCCCGACCACCCCAGCCTTCCAGCAGATCCCCGGGGAGTGGAGGCCAGGCCCAAGGCTATAAGCCTGGTAGGTGCCCCAAAATTGAGATGGCCAGACAAGCTGGCAGGGCTGGGCTACCTGAGGCAAAAAGGTAAAAGTCTCTCTGAACTGGGTGATAAGGGTCAGCCCCAGGTCCTTTTCCTGGCCGCCCAGCTAGGATCTGTGGCACCTTTGGAATGTGGGCGGGCAGCTGCCAGCCCCCTCCCTCCCCATCCGCCAGTATGCCCCCTCCTTCCCCAGCCACATGGCACTGCTCCAGGAGCCCCGCCTGAGGTCAAGCCTGTGAGGACCAAGGTCCTCTTTGCATCAGGGGCCTTGCTCATCCCCACCATCCTGAGCTTTCCAACATCTCCTTTTCTAGAGACCCAATGACCCTCCACTGCCCCACTCTGGACAGACACTGAGTGAGAGCCATTGGTGGGGAGCCAGCGTTCAATCTGTGTGGTAGGCCCAGGACCCCCTCTCCGCAGCCCCTGTCTGCTTGGCACGCCACCGTCTGCCCCAGCCTGTCCCCCCTCCTGGGGCAGGGACAGAAGGGGAGCAGGCAGGCACAGCAGCCCCTCACCAGAGACGCCTTGGTGTCAGGGCACAGGGCGGGGGCACAGGGGCCCATCTCCTCATTCCTGTGCCTGACCAGGGCTCAGCATAGCTGCGTGTCCTCATACCACTTCCTCCTTGCCTGAGTCTGCCCTAGGGAGGAGAGCCCTACCAGTCTCCGCCTGTCCCTGTCTGTGTCGGTTCCACACCTCTAACCCTCCAGCTGGAATACGCTCCTTCACTGACTGCCTTCCCCAGCTGGCAGGGCCCACCCATTAGGCAATCACTTCTTCAGGGACCAAGAGTGGCTGGTCATCTCTTGGGGCCACCAAAACAGAGCAGCAGTTTGCAAACCTGGGGACTGTTCTTCCCCAGCCACCTGCCCAGTTTGTGGTCAATTGATCATGGGGATGCAGAACTGGTGGGAGACCCAACTTTAGGGTCCAACACTTCCCACAGCTTCCCCAGCCTGGGGAGGGGGGAGGGGGGTGAGCCAGTCCTGACCTGGGACTGGGAGGAGCAGAGACAAAAATAACCCCGTACAGGCTCCTGCTGAGGCCAGAAATAGAGTAGTGACAAGTGTCTTGTAACACCATGGGCTAACAGCAGGAGGGGAGGCTGAGCTGAAGAGGGCCCAGCCTCACACCAGGTCCTGGCCTGGCCAAGGGGCCCACACCATGTCCACTCTACATACCATACCACACTGCCCGTGGGCACACCAGCAACGTGGGGGCCCAAGGGACCACGGCTCAGGACAGGGAATTCGGAGAGATGCTAAACTTGGGTTTGGTCTTGGCCACAGCCACACTGCGCTTACGCAGGGGGCCACGGGCCGAGGTGAGGGTCAGGGCGTCCAGCAGGCTGCGGTCCTCGTCAAGCTGGCGGGCTGTGCAGAGTGGCGTGGGCACTTTGATGGTGTTGCCAAATTTGGAGTAGTCCACGGAGTAGCGGCCATCCTCCTCGGCCACAATGGGTACAAAGCGCTGGCCCCAGAGGATCTCGTCGGCCAAGTAGGAGGTGCGGGCCTGTGTGGTGATGCCTGTGGTTTCCACCACGCCTTCCAGAATGACAATGATCTCGAGGTCTTGATGGTGATGCAGGTCACTGGGCGCCAGGTCGTAGAGTGGACTGTTGGCATCAATGACGTGGTAGATGATGAGAGGAGCCACCAGGAAGATGCTGTTGCCACCCACACCGTTCTCCATGGGGATGTCCACCTGGTGGAGGGGCACCACCTCGCCCTCGGGGCTGGTGGTCTTGCGTACCACCTGCATGCGGATGGTGGCGCTGATGATCATGCTCTTGCGGAGGTCACCCACACGCAGCATGAAGCAGAGACGGCCATGGCGCACCGCAATGACAGCATGCTTGCTGAAGATGAGGGTCTCGGCCCGCCGATGGGCCTGGGCAGTCTTCATGAAGATGCAGCCCAGCATGATGGCATTGATCATGAGCCCCACGATGTTCTGCACGATGAGGATCAAGATGGCCAGCGGGCACTCCTCGGTCACCATGCGCCCGCCAAAACCAATGGTCACCTGGACCTCAATGGAGAAAAGGAAGGCAGATGAAAAAGAGTGGATGCTGGTGACACAGGGCACAGCGGTGCCCTCGCCAGGGGCCAGGTCACCGTGGGCGAAGGCAATGAGCCACCAGACCATGGCAAAGAGCAGCCAGCTACACAGGAAGGACATGGTAAAGATAAGCAGCGTGTGTGGCCACTTGAGGTCCACCAGCGTGGTGAATACGTCCTGCAGGAATCGGCCCTGCTCCCGGATGTTCTTGTGGGCTACGTTGCAATTGCCGTTCTTGGACACGAAGCGAGCCCGCCGCTCTCGGGCTCGGTACCGGGGCTCCGCGGGGTCCTCTGCTAGCCGTGTCAGCACGTACTCCTCAGGGATGATGCCTTTTCGGGACAGCATGGCTCCAGCAACCACCAGGGAGAAGCTTCCCCCATGGGGGGCGCCCCCCTGACCAAGCCTTGGGCCTCACTGTGGGGTTTCCTCCCCGGGGAGCCCTTCCACTCTGGGACCGCCCTCAGTCTGTGCTGGCCTCACTTCTGAGATGCCTCCCCAACCAGACTCATCCTCACCTCCACCTGGCCTCTGCTTCTTTAAGCCTGCCTCACGAACCTCAGCCCACCTGCCCACTGCCTAGTGAGCCTCCTACCTGGCCTGTTCCCCGCCTTGCCGGCGATCTCAGCTCAACTCTCTTCCACCGCTGACTTTCCCTAGACCTCCCGCAGGGACTCCTTCTCCCCACCTAGGTTTCCTTCTCAACCCGCCTCCTCTACCTTGGAACTTAACACCTCGGGATCTTACCAACTCACTAGACCTCACGCAACCCCCACCGTTTCTCCCGCCTCACTCACTTCTGCTCCCGGGCCCCTTCCAAGCTCCAGGTTCATCTTCTGACGATCCCCAGTCTCGCCTCCAGGTATGCCCCCTTTTCTACCCCACCCCCCGTAGCGCCCCCGCGGCTGATCGGATCCCCCTCCAGCTCTTGTCCTTTCTGTCTCCTTGGAATCCTGCGCCCTCCAGAGTCACCACTCCGCCCGACTCTGCTCCAGATACCCTCGCCCCCAGCGCAAGGGGTCTTGCTCCCTGACAGTCGCGGCCTCTCGGCTCCCAGCCGGTCCACGCAAGCCGGCGCCGCGCCCCCGCCAGGCGCTCCGCTCTGTCCTGCCCCGCCCGCCCGCGCCGCGGCACCTGCTCCTGCTCCTCAAGCCGCAGCCGTCTCTTCCCCGCCCCTGCTGCTGCCCGGGCGTCCCAGCGGGTCGTCCTCTCGTCCGTCCGTCCGTCCTTCTGTCCGTTGGTCCGCGGAGACGGACCTGTGCTAGATGGGGGGCAGAAGATTGAGGGCGGGGGCGCTGGAGGACTGGAGTGGGGGCCCGGAGCCGCCAGGGGGAGCCCGACCTATTCCTGAGCTGGAGGCGGGGCGGGCACAGGCTCAAGCTCCGCCCCTCGTCAGTCACACCCGCCCCACGCGCCGCCTTCCTGTTCCAGATTCAGTATGGACTTGGGGGTCTGCCCAATCAGACGGACCGAAAGAGGTTCCTCCTGCCCAGGGGGGGACAGTGAGGGGAGCCACGACCCACCCTTTCAGTTTTAGGACTGCGGCCCCTGTTGCCTTGACTTTCCTCCTCCAATTTTCCCGTTCTCAGCGGGGCCAGCACGCACCTCTCGTGCAGCGTTGGGCTTTGCCGGTTCCCAGCGAGAGGAGGCTCTGAGGAGCTGCGTCACCAAACTGGTGACTGCAAGAGCTTAGGTGGCTTGAGGATTCCTCAGCTGACTGTTTCTTCTCTTTGGGGGCGCTCTTAATCTTTTCTGCACCGTAGATCCTTTGAGAATTTGATGAAAGCCACGGACTCCCTCCCCAGAAAACAATGGACCTTACTAGTAGGTGTAGGAACATTGTTTTACACCAGCCCAGAAGCCTGGGTGGTTGCATCCTCTTAATCATCCCACAATCACACCCCTGTATTTTAAAGAGAGTTTGAACTACGGACACTTGCTTTATACCTCCTTACACCTGCAGCCTGGTCTTTTTTACCTTAGATCATGGGAGGCACTTGGGTCTGAGGGACTATATTAGGTAGGGTTGGCTTGGGAACTGGGGGACTCAAGCTCTTGACCTGAACATGAGTGATGCTTCTCCTACAGGCATCAGCTTAGGGTTGCCCTGTGGCTTGGGGACCCCCAGTTCTCAGCGGGGAGAGAAAGACTGCTAGGTCTCTGGTGTTGGGACAGTAATGGTCTTACCCCCTCTCTGGGGCTCAGATCTTTTTGTAGCCCTGACCCATGTGTGTTCATTTGTTGGAGTGGGGGCTTGAGGCAGGGCCCCGAATGGGAACAGTGGGGATATGGGCCACAGTGGGGCAGACTGTGATTTTCATATTGAGTTTTCCTTTCTGTCTCTACTCACCTGCAGGCAGAGTCAACAATGCTACTCAGGGTAAGTAAGCTTGGGCTATATTAACAGAGATGCAGTGCCTAGAGTGGGGAGGGGAGAACAGGATGATCAGAGAAGGGGAGCTCAAGGAGACAGGGTTACACAAGAAAGCTGTGAGGCAACTACATCTGTTCAGCCACCAGTAAAGGAGCCTTAGAGAGCCCTCTAGGGAGTTTGGGCACTATTGCAGAAATCCCAGGGGTCCAAGGAGGATGGACTAATAGTTTTATGTGGCCCAAAGTATAGAACCAGTACAGACACTGAGTGGAACAGAGACAGGTTGTGATTTCACATAGGGAAGAGTCAGTTCTAATAACCAGAGATGACCCATATTTTTGGAGTATCCAAGTCCAAGTTGGCAGACCATCAGGGATACTATAGAGGGGTTTGGGCCAGAATGGCCTTGGGCATCCCTGCAAGACTTCAGTCTGGACCTTGCCCTGCCCCTGCTACCTCCCTTCAATCCCATGGGGTGTGGTGGGCACAAGGTGGGGATGGGGTTAGGAATCTTCTCCCTTCCCAAGCTCTGCTCTTGGGAGGCCCCTCAGTGGAGAGGGCTGCCCCTGGAGGCATCTTAGAGCTGGAAAGGCAAGGCCCTGCCTCACAGCGTGGCCCTGAGGCCTCAGCTATTACCTGCTCCACCCTTTCTAGAAGGGTGAGCCCCTTACTCAAAGAGCTCAGCCTCCTGCCCTGCTCCATCCTTACTTCCTCATACTCATCTCCCCCAAATACTACATTTGTCAGGTTCCTTTCTCACTCAGAAACCTTCTCCACTTCTCTTTTGTTCATAAACTTATCCCAGACTCCTTGTCTTGGCATTTAAGGCCCTATGATCTTATGCCCCCACCCCCTGCTCCATGGGCCATTTTCTCTAACTCTGCCTGTCCAATTCCCACCCCTCTCATGCCCACCTCACATCTTGCCTCCCCCAGGCAGCCTGCCAGGCCTTACAGAGCTCGTACTTCCTCATCCCCTCTGGCTCTTGGAATATCCAACAGGTCTGTGTTGGGCCTCTCTCCAGTGACTGGTGGGTTTTCCTTACATTGTTCTCATGCCGTTGCAACCAAGAGAAACACAGGCCCAAGACACCTGGGTCTGCACCCCAGAGCTGGGATAGACAGTGCTGAAGTCAATGTGAAAATGATACAAACATGATATGTAAATCAGCACCTGCCGTTTCTGGGCTGGGGGAGGTGTGCACTCCTGTTTCCTGATGCTGATAGAATCTGAAGATATCTGTTGTTTGGGTCTCCCCAGTGTCTGGGCCTCAGCATCTCCAGCCACCACCTGGCTGACTTGTGGTATATGCACTGTGCTTCCCTCTGAAGGACCACCCTTCTCGCATTCTGAATGCCTCTCCGTAGGGGACACAGATGGGGACATGTGATCGGGGCCTAGCCAGTCAGTGTAGCCCAGCCCTCTGACCACAGTGATTGGGTAGAGGTAGGGGTATGACCTAACCTGGTCCATTGAGATTTGCTCCCAAGACTTTTGCTGGGACTATTGGGAAGAATCATCTCTTTTTCAGAGAGCTAGTGTATAAGCTGGAGGGGCTAGTGGCCATTTGTCATCAGGGAGGGTAGGAAGACAGAAACCAGAAGTGGAAACACATCCAGCCATGCTTGAAGCAGTACACCTCCTGGGCTTCTCCGTCACATACGGCAATGAATTCCAGTTTTTGTGTAAGCCCCTTTGAGTTGGGTTCCTGTCATTTGTCATGGAAGTGGTACTAATCCAGGAAATAAAGTGAGAAGGAAGGGGACTACTTTGTCTAATGAGGTAATCACAAAAACGCGATAGCCCTTGTTATGGACTGAATTGTGTCCCCTTCCCCAGATCCATTTGTTAAAGCCCTAAATTCCCATGTTGAAGCCCCCCAGTGTGACAGTATTTGGAGATAGGGCCTGTGAAGAGGTAATTAGGTCTTTAGGAGAAACCAAACCTATGCACCTTGATCTTGGACTTCCAGCCTCCAGATCTGTCAGAAAACGTTTCTGTTTAAGTCTCCTAGTCCACTATTTTGTTATAGCCGCCTGAGCAGACTAATACCAACCTCACTTCACAGATAAGGAAACACACTTCTGAAACTCACACAGCCTCAGGTCTGCCCGATGCTCCACAGGCCACCCCAGTCCCTGCACACCAGACCCGAGAGACCTCCGGTAGGAAACAACCAATCTCTTTATTTACAAGTGATTTACAGTTAGAAAGCCCGGGCGGGAGGTGGGGGCAGGCTGGGGCACGGGGTGGCCCTTGGGCTCCAGCTGGTCACTTGTCCGCACGGACAAAGGAGGCGAAGACACTGTCCTTCTGGCTGAGCAGCTTCTCTGGCTTGTCGAACTCAAGGATGGCGCCACGTTTCAGGACAATCACCAGGTCTGCACTCAGGATGGTGTGC